AATAAAAGAAAGATAATGATACACAAACTTATATCCACAGCTGTAGGGCCTTTTCCCATCGCCAAGAAAAAGAACATATATATAATTGCTGGATTGTATCTCTCTTTGAAGTGCGACACCCTCAGTCTCAATCTGGATCACCATAGAAAGGATCTTGCACCTGCATGTGTAATAATTTAGAGCTTAGTTTTGTTTTCTTTGTTCTCATCAAAGTTGGCTTGAAATTTATTTTATTGTTCAAGCAGATGAATCATCTGAACAATCAAAATTTGAACAAGAAAACTTAAACCTGTCAAATCAACTGTGAGCTCGCCTCTTTCAGTCACACATCACTGCATCCACTGTATCTGAGAGACAGAATGGATTTAATAAAAGGAACTGAACTTGCTATTGCAGTTAGAAACTGGGAAAAGAGGAACTCACCAGTATGGTCTGACCAAAGATGTCTGATGTCTGAGTGATAAAAAATAGATTTAGTTACAGCTTGACTATCTGAGTTCAGCTAAATGTGTTTAATGTATAAAAATCCTGTCGTGTTACTAATATATCATCATAATATCATCATAAAATCCTGGTGCCAGATAAATTATATGCTTTCAGACTTGCGCACACACTTGTATTCACCTTATTCTGATAACAGTGACATGTATTGTGGGTACTGTGATCACTGTTATCAGCTCAAACAGTCCAGCATCGATCATCTTTGGTAATATCACCATCTCTTTTGGCTGTTCTGGGGGAGGACACATGACAGTAAGACTTAAACTTCAGTCATTTCACGATAAATTTAAATACTAACCCACAGTGTTTTATTGCTATTTAATGACAAATTAAACTTATGTGAGTCTTGCCTCTGGAATTAAAACCAGTGGTGGATCCACTGGTCACAAATCCAACTCTGGCTGCTCCAACCAGTGGTTGAAGCCCAGTAACTACTATTACTCAAGCAAATCTTTTTGCAAAACCATTTCTATGGAGCCTTTGTCCTTATAAAGACATTTTATTCTGGGACAGGAGATAGAGCAAGTTGTCCACCACGCACCAAGCAGACAGTCGTCCAATCCCCAGCTTTCCCAGTCTACATGCGGAAGTGCTCTTGGGCAAGATTCAGAACCCCAAGCTGAACATCCTTCTATTGTCCAAAAACATTCATGTTAGGTAACTTGGTGATTCTAAATTGGCCGTGGATGTGAGGCAGATGAATTGCTTTAAGTGTATGTATCAACTCAGTATTACATAATAACAGACATATTATATAAGGGCCATCATGGTGTAGCCCTACTCCTACTAGGAGAAAAAAACCTACATATTAAATTTTTTTAAGTAACTATAATGTAACTATTCGGCAAAAAGAATTTAGCCAGGAAGGAAAAATGTAACAGAACATAAATAAAAGTGTGTTCCACTCTGGTGTCAGTAATTGTTTCGGTCTGGCTACCCTTGTATAGATTGTCTGCCATTGAGTACAATTAATTTTGACAAGGCACTACTCAGACAGGTTGCATATGATACTTCACTTAGCTTTAACAACCAGTTTAGTGGTTCCTTCAAATTTACCACTGGGAAAGATGACAATGCTGCAGGTGGACGACCCAGCATCTGCAATTTCCACAGTCTGCAAATTATCGATTGTCCTACCAACTTCACCCTCTCGCTCAGTGGAGAATTGGGAATATTTACCACAAACTGGCTGTTAAAAATAATGACGAGGACCATATTTCCTTCTGTCCCCTCTGGTTGCAGGAGAGACCACTGAACCTGAGTAATTTTTGTATTGTTTGGTTCTTGGATAAATTGGCAGAGCAGGGTGACATTGTTCTCAGTGGATGCATTAACTTCAAGCAGGACTTAGAGTTGCTGTGTGTCCAGAACTGCCCAAAAAAAAATATGACAAGATGGCATACACTGCATTTTTGTTAATTTTATTATTTATTTAACATTTACTCTAGACAAATCACATGCATTGAATGTTTGTTTTTTTCTGCATTAAATGTTGTAATCTGTGGTTGTTTGATTTCCATTATTTCAAGCCAATTTAAACTGCATAAATCTGCTCTAATCCAGTTTTTAAAACTTTATAACCACAAGTCTTACGTGGAAGTAATGCAATGTAAATCAGTGGTAGGTAGGATGATCTGTTGTAAATTTTCGCTGTGCACAACGGGAAATGGACACAAAAAAGGAAAAGAAAATTCCTTACAACTCCCACCTTGTTCTTGGTTTTGTTCAAAATTTGCAAAGAAGATGTTTTTAGTACAATTCTGTTGAACTCTGCTCGGATAAAAGATGAAAACATGAAGTTTGGCAGCATGAGACAAGACACACAAACAGAAAAAGTGTTTGCCCGCTTCTCTTCCTCCAAACCAATCAGACAAAAAAGAAAAAGTAATTAAAAAAAAATAACACAACCTGGATGTATTATTTATTTTGGTAACTTTATTTGACAGTAGCAGAGACTGAGAACAGAACTGCTCGTTCACAGAGAACAAGCTTGAATTGAAAAACAATGTTAAGCTGTTTTTAGTTTGTTTGTTTTTCAACTGAACTGGAAGTCACGATGTGCCACAACTAAAACATGTACTCCTGTTTCCTGTTCTGCTGCCGGGTTTTGAGACTTGTACAGTGTTAGAGGTTTTGTGAGTAGAGAGGAAGGCTGGAGTGTTCCTGCATGACAGCATCCTGATTGTGAAACCGTAAACTCGAGGTTTTGTTCTTATGAATTAGGTGCCTGCTTATCTCCATATCATACAACATGTTCAAAAACCCAGGACTGTTTTCTGTAAGTGTGTAGGCAGGCTGTAGTAATAACAACAGTCCTCCTTTATCTCTCCCAGTCCTTTCTGTTGAACATTTGTGTAATGATCATGTCACAGTCCTGTCTGCAGGTGTTGCAGTATTTTTTTTTTTTTTTTAACGGGAAAGAAAAAAATAGGGTGAAAATGTGGTTTGCAAACATACCATACTGGTCTATACCTTACAAACTGTCACCTTCTGGTTTTCAAACAGCATTTCCCCACAGTGTCAGTCTGTGGGTGTGATGTGAAAGTGTCTGCTCACTCGGTGTTATCAGAGCTTGTATGAACAAAATCATATTTTCTTGTTGTAAACTAGTTTGACAGCTCATTTGAATCTGTTGTGTGTTTTTAATACTGAAAGTCAGTTCTTGAGAAATCTGATTATCTTTACAATCTGTGCTGTGAACACAAAGCTGTTGTTTCTTTTTTTGTTGTTTTTTTTTTCTCTGTGTAACGGTCTCTAGATTGGCTGTATAACTGAACTTTGTTGCTAAAAAAGAAAAAATAGTTTTGACAGATCTGACAGGTGGTGATTTATTCTCTTCTTGAACTCTAGAGTTTCGTCTTGTCCGTGAGAAAGTGTGGAGAGAGTGCATTATTCAGTGCTGGACAGAAACGTCAAAGAGTACATTCATTTAAGTGTATGCACTATTTACATTTTGCACTTGTGCTAGTACTTGAAATGTAAGTTCGTATTTCTACTGCACTATTTCTGTCTGACAGTTACTGTTGGCGGTAAAAATTTTAAATAAGGTCGGTCTACAGGAAGATTAAAATCTTATGCTAAAAAGCCTAAGGATGCATCAATACGATTTAAACCAGAAGCCTACATTCCATACATTTTAAACTACTTAACTACCATATCAAATAAAAGTATATAAAGTCCATATGTGTCCAAGTGAGCCAGTATGAATATATCCTATGTGTGTATGTATTAAGTGATGCATGTCTGATATGCGTATCTCTGCAGAACAGCTGCCTTTACTATGATCCTTTGGGTAGTTTTTGTCAATAACATTGTTGCACCAGTACTATTATTTGTATTTGTAAAGTATCAAAGCACTTTGATATCAGCTTATCACTGAGCGAGGTTAAGGTTACCACCTAAAAAAAATATTGTAAAGTTTAAGTGTGGAAACCCTGAAGTAAAAATACAATCTATTATGTAGTAATTAAATTACATTTTGTTAAAATATATATA